CCCGGGTCCGGTCAGCGCCTCTCGAAAATCTATGGGTGTGGCTTCTCTGGGCCTTCTTGGGAGGCACTCTGGGGTGTCTTCGGGTCCTCTTCGGCCGTCCTGGGGCCCAGTTGGGCCGTCTTGGGGGGCCTCCTGTGGCACTCTTGTGGCACTCTTCTAGCTATCTTGGGGGCCTCGTGGGGCCTTCTTGGGCTGTCTTGGGGCTCTGTGGCCGTCTCGGGGCCCTCCTGGGCCGTCCTGGAGCCCTCTTGGGAACCGCATAGGCCGCCTTGAGGCAATGCCTGAGGTCCCCGGCCGACTTCGGCCGATCTTAGCCCGAAAAGGCGGAAACCTAAGAAGACATGAGAAACGTGAGGAAAATCGGTTTTGTTGCCTCCTCCCACCAGCCGGTAGTTTTTTGGGGGAGCATCTCGGGCCGTCCTGGGGAGGGGCTCGGGCCGTCTCGAGGCCCTCTTGGGCTCTCTTTGGTCCTTCTGTGGCCCTCTTGGGCTCTATGAGGACACCTCGGGGCCGCTCTTGGGGCTCCTCTCGGGGACCCGCTTAGGGCCATATGTGGCCCCTCTTGGGGCGTTCTTGGGCCGGCCTGGTATTCTCTTGGGCAAACTTGGCTCCTCTTGGAAGCTCAAGTAGTCTAGTAGCCATTTTGGGGGCATCCCATGGCTCTCTTGGGGCTATCCTGGGCCGTCTTGGGGCACTCTTGGGGGCCTCACGGGCAGTCTTGGAGCGATCTGTGGGGCCTCTTGGGCCGCCTGAGGCCATCGGACTCCCGGGAAGGCGAGACTCTGAAAACATTCAAAAACAATGCGTATAGGCCCCTACGGACCGCTTGACCATCCTCTTGAACGTCTCTTCGGCCGTCTTGGGGCCCTCTTGGACCGTCTCGAGGCCATTCTATAAGCAATCCTGGCACGGTCTTGGGCGGTCTGGGGCTCTCCTGGAGCGCTCTTCGGTCGTCTGGGAAGTCTATCACGCCGTGTTGCGGGCCTCTTACGCCGCCTTGCAGCCTCTGGAGGCCTCCTGCACCAAAAAAGGATGCCAACTTGGCCCCTCCAAGGCGATAGAACAATTTGCTCGCGCTTCGCCAACCCCCTCAGACTCCCCTCCGTACGGCTTCGCCCCACAACAATGGCATCACCCAAGCTGTCACGGAAACGGAAAGAACGGAAAGAACGCGAACGGGTGGATCGAGAGGACCTCATGGCAATTCACTCGGATAGACGGTTCTCGTCGTCAGCGTAACTGTTGCGTTGCTTCATGTTTCGCGCGCGCGCGTGGGGGCGATGCTGGTGGGCCCGCCAGATACAGGGGATGCCAGCCCGGAGGCGGTATGAATACAAGAATGGCCAAGAAGGCTCCAAGATAACCCCGCACTGTCTGGCGACGGCTCCACAGCTTGCGCCACGAACGTGCAATATGTTCCGAGATCGTACGCGGCAGCTTGAAATGGCCACCACGCGGCCTCCAGGCTGACCCCAACAGGCCCACTCAATACTGTTCGAAAGTGGCTCTGGAGCGTCCCAGAGAGACTGCGAAGATAACCATAAACATAAGACATACAATAATATCCACATGGGCCGCTCTGGACACCGTGACTCAAAACCATCCTGGCGAAGGACCCAACCATATGCAGTTGTGAGTACCGTCGTTGCGGGTATCGCCTTCTGGGAATAACCGAATTAAACCATGAAGCATGCGAAGGGTGTGCGGATGTGGGACGGGGCCGCCATGTGGGCACTGCCGCTGGGGCTTCAGGCCAAACCCACTATGAGGCCGCGAAACGTGTGATTGGTGCGCCGCACTTGGGCGGAACGACCACTGGGGCCTACGCTGCACTGGGTGGGGGTCCCGCGTGCGAGCGCAGCCACAGGGGCCTTCGGTGGAGCTCCCCTTGGGGCCACGAGACGCTGCACCGAGCGGGGGGCCCTCATGCGAGCACAACCACTGGGGCCTCCGGCGGAACTCTCTATGGGGCCACGAAACGCTGCACCGCTATGGGGCCACAAAACGCTGTACTGGGTGGAGGGTCCCGCGTGCGGACGGACGCCGCAACTCAGCAGGCATCCAGTGGCGTTCCCTATGGGGCCACGAAACGCTGCGCTGGATGGGGGGTCCCGCATGCGAGCGCAGCCACTGGAGCCTTCGGCGGAGCTCCCTATGGGGCCACGAAACACTGTACTGGACGGGGGTCCCGCGTGCGAGCGCAGCCACTGGAGCCTTCGGCGGAGCTCCCTATGGGGCCACGAAACACTGTACTGGACGGGGGTCCCGCGTGCGAGCGCAGCCACTGGGGCCTTCGGTGGAGCTCCCTATGGGGCCACGAAACGTTGTACTGGGCGGGGGCCCCGCATGCATGCGAGCGCAGCCACTGGGGCCTTTGGTGGAGCTCCCTATGGGGCCACGAAGCGCTGCACTGGGTGGGGGTCCCGCATGCGAGCGTAGCCCCAGGGGCCTTCGGTGGAGCTCCCTGTGGGGCCACAAAGCGCTGCACTGGGTGGGGGTCCCGCATGCGAGCACAGCCACAGGGGCCTTCGGTGGAGCTCCCCTTGGGGCCACGAAGCGCTGCACTGGGTGGGGTTCCCGCGTGCGAGCGCAGCCACAGGTGCCTTCGGCGGAGCTCCCTATGGGACCACAAAGCCCTGTACGGGGTGGGGGAACTGCATGCGAGCGCAGCCACTGGGGCCTTCGGTGGAGCTGCCTATGACGCTGCACTGGGCGGGGGTCCCGCATAAGAGCGCAGCCACTGGGGCCTTCGGTGGAGCTGCCTGTGAGGCTACGAAACGTTGTGCTGGGCGGGGGAACCGCACGCGGACACCGCCACTGAGGCCTTCGATGGAGCCCCCTTATGGGGCCACGAAACGCTGCACTGCACTGGGTGGGGGTCCCGCATGCGAGCGCAACCACAGGGGCCTTCGGTGGAGCCCCCTTATGGGGCCACGAAGCGCTGTACTGGGTGGGGGTCCCGCATGCGAGCGCAGACACTGGGGACTGTGAATGTCCCCATGGGGCCACGAAACGTTGTACTGGGCGGGGGAACCGCATGCGGACACCGCCACTGAGGCCTTCGGTGGAGCTCCCTATGGGGCCACGAAACGCTGCACTGGGTGGGGGTCTCGCATGCGAGCGCAGCCACAAGGGGCTTCGGTGGAGCTCCCCTTGGGGCCACGAAACGCTGTACTGGGTGGGAGTCCCGCGCGCGAGCGTAGCGACAGAGGCCTTCGGTGGAGCCACGGAATGTTGTACTGAGTGGGGGAACCGCGTGCGAGCGTAGCGACAGAGGCCTTCGGTGGAGCTCCCTATGGGGCCACGAAGCGCTGAACTGGGCGGGGGTCCCGCATGCGAGCGCAGCCGCTGAGGCCTTCGATGGAGCTCCTCCTGCGGCCACGAAACGTTGTACTGAGTGGGGGAACCGCTTGCGAGCCCAGCCACAGGGGCCTTCGGTGGAGCTCCCTATGGGGCCACGAAGCGCTGTACTGGGTGGGGGTCCCGCATGCGGACACCGCCACTCTGGCCTTCGGTGAAGTTCCCTATGGGGCCACGAAACGCTGCACTAAGTGGGGGTCCCACATGTGAGCGCAACCACTGGGGCCTTCGAAGGATCTCCCTATGGGGCAACTAAGCGCTGTACTGGGTGCGGGGCCCGCGTGCGAGCGCAACCATTGGGGCCTTCGGTGGAGCTCCCTGTGGGGCCACGAACCGTGTGAGAGGTGTGCCGGAATGGTTGGCGGGGACGTATATAAACTTTGCCACTGAGGGCTTCGGTGGAGCTCCCTATGGAGCCACGAATCGTGTAAGGGGTCTACCGAAATGGGTGGCGAGGACGCATGTAAACTGTGCCACTGGGGCCATCGGTGGAGCTCCCTATGGGGCCACGAAGCGCTGTACAGGGTTTGCCGAAATGGGTGGCGGGGACGCATGTAAACTGCGCCACTGGGGCCTTCGGTGGATCTCCCTATGGAGCCACGAACCGTGTGAGGTGAGTGCAGGAATGGGTGCCGGGGACGCATGTAAACTGTGCTATTTGGGCCTTCGGTGGAGCTCCCTATGGGCCCACGGACACATTGGATGATGATGGTGATGATGATGATGATGCTGCTGATGATGATGATGAATATGGAGGATGGAGGGAGGAGCGGGAGGAGGATGACGAGGAGGAGGAGAGGAAGGAAGGACGGAACGCGGGGCGCTGTCTCTTCAAAACGAGGACCCAACACCACAGGATGGGAACACCACCACGCAACCCCGGGGAAGGCCACAGTAAGGATACAAGACCGAGCAACCCAAAGGAACGCAACACTAAGGAAACATAACCAAACAATGCCGAGGAAAGCTGGCCGCCGCAGGCATCGCAACCATTGGTTCATCAAAAACCAAAAAGATAGCCAGTTAGGCGATCCTGACTGGGGAACGGACAGGAACTGCTGTCATGCGTCGTCCCCATTCTGTCCGTACCTACCTCTAGAGACCTCCCACATGGGCATGAGGTCGGAGGATCGCGCCGCGTCGTCGATGCATTGTCGGTCGGCGATTCATCGACGACGTCGATGTGGAGAAATTCGGGTTTCATATCGAGCCGCATCGGAAATGTATCGGCGATGCGGCGGCGCGATCCTTCGCCCCCCCTCTACTCAGACCTCATCTGGGAGGCCTTGATTCGTTCCGTCCCCATGTCTGCCGTAGCGAAGAACTTGGGCGGCCCACTCCAAAGACAACTGCAAGCTTGCTTTTCTTTCCTGTTCTCTCTCTCACTGTCTCTGTCTCTCTCTCTCCCGCTCTCTCTCTCTCTCGCGGCTCAAGCCACGGATCCCGAGCGGCTGCCCTGCTAGGCAAGGCACCGGGGAGCTAACTGCAGTCGGTACTCACGGAGACCCCAAGTAGACTGCTCGGTTAAGCTAGCAGTCGCGTCCTCTGAGCTTCGTCGTAAATCAGTGGCCCGAGTGTGAACAAATAGATTGCTGTACCTCTCTCTCTCTCTCTTCTCTCTTTTTATCTCTCTCTCTCTCTCTCTCTTTCTTTCTCTGTCCCGCGCGAGCAGCCGTTGTCCGAGCGCGCTCAAGAACGGTTGTCGGTCTCCGCCCCCTCTTCCTTCCGTATCCGCCTTGGTCGCAACGAACCACTTTGGCTGCTGCCCCCTCCCAGGGCACCTCACGGTCCTGTCCGCCTGCCTGTTCCTCTCATGCGCGGGCTCCCGATGCCCGAACACGGTCATTTTTGCTCGTGTTGCACGGGCGCCCTCGCCGCGGCGCGCTTGGCGTGCGCCACGGGGGCAACCCCGCTGCCAGAGGCGGGCAGCCAGGCTGCCAAACCGCGCGGCTGTCCACGCCCATGTTCGGCGGCGAGCCCAGGAGGAAGAACGAGGAGGGAAGTGGGAGGAGGCGGGAGGGACGAGGACGGAGGAGGGACGAGGACGGGGAGGACGGAGGTGGGAAGAGGGAGGAGGGGGAGGGCGCGCAGTGGCACGTGGTAATGTCCTTCCCCCTCCCGGCGGCAGCCGGTATGCAAAAGGAGAATAAAAGGCTGGCCCCGTTTTTCCTTTTCAATACTCAGCTGTCTGTGACGCCCTTTCAAGCCACAGCGGCGTCGAAAAATGTCTCGATCGGAACTGCTCTTCCCAGTCCAAAACCGTGCAGCGTGCGTGCTGGGCCTCTGGATAGCTGCTCTAGGGGGGCCCAGAAGAAAAAGGTACCAACTTACTTTCGTGATGGCTTAAAACTGCGGGTGCAGGCTCTGGTAATAGTACAGTGGCGAACGGCATCGCGAGAGGTGGCGTAATCACGGGATACTACATTCAATATCAGGACAAGGTGGCAAGCGGTGGCGGCACAAGCAGGCGACAACAAGCTGGCCGAACGAACGAGTTCATCTCGTACCAGTAGGTGTTCACAGCGTCCGTGGTCTTCAAAGTGCTATCCTTTGCTCGTGGGCTTAGCTTCGGGACTCCATCGCTTTGGCTCGTGATTCGGAACCCACTGTCCATGGTTCAGCGCGTTCACGGCACCAAACCTGCTAATGCTGCCCTTTGTGAACCCATCGCACAACATACCTCTCGTGTCTATCCATCTCAACCCCGCGAGAATACCGCGATCTAGCCATTCACTGACTCTCATCACCGCGCGCGCAAGGTGTCGCCGGGTTGGTAACTGTACTTCTCTAGCTCTGCATGCCTTGGCGAATGACTCGTGGTCAGCGAAAATCAGAATATTCCTGCTGAGTCCACCACGCTCAGCATATGCCGCTAAAGTGGTCGCTGAACAAGAAGCCAGCGTCAATCTCGCGTAGAAGTCCAGCCAGCACAATACGCATAGAAACTGCATCTCCCACTGCTCCGGCCTCTGCGCTGCACTTGGCCCTGTTCACTCTTGATGGCTTCCTGCTGCTCGTCACGAGCATCGGTGGTTGACCTTCTATACGTGAACTACTGCGCTGACAAAGACCCATAATATCTGCTCCTGGCGCAGGACAGCCCCCGCGGTGTAGCCCTTCTGGCGAGTATACATTGACGTCCTTCTCACAGCCTGCTCGTGTTCAACTCCAAGATGCGTGAACTTATCCATAGGCTCGTTGCACTTCCCAAGCGACCTTTTCCAACGCTGTCCAGGGTTCCTCTCCTGCAGTCGCAGCCGTCGTTTATGATCCACTCAAATCGTCCAAGTGGCCAAACCCATGACATACACTTGCCTTTACTGTCCTTCCTCATGCACAGCGCGCGGTTGGTCTTGCTAACGGCGCGCTGCGTCGAGCACCTAACTTGTGCCAGCTTCAAAGTAACCAATCTCGGTGCATCCTTCAATCCTCATCTAGGTCGAAGAGTCCGCAAGCAATGCTTCTCGTGATTGTAGTCTCCCAGCCTTTGAACAACCTCACAACTGATGCGGCCTCGGCGCCATCGATAAGCTGCACTTGTCGAATCAAACCATCAGTCGCCATCTGATTGATCTCGTCGAACGCCAAGCCTTTGAGAAAACCTCCGGGATCACCAGTGCCCGCAGGTCATGCCCATTCTGAACTGCATGACTGCTCACCACTCGTGTATTGCACAGGGCCGCTGTCCCACTGAAGGCCTCCACTTGTGACTGTCTATCTGTGAACCCTCAGTGCCCATCTGCCTTTGATCTCGTGCTGCAACTCACCGTCGATGACCATGATCTTCCATGTGACAAGCCAGGTGCCGCCCATGAGGTTGGCGGTGTCCTGCTTGAACACGATGCCCGCACTCGAACTCCAATCACTGCTGCGACTCTCGCTTTATGGAATTGATGACCTCGTCGTGAAAACGCTGCTGATCGCCCGCGCTCAGGTCGTGAAGTTCTGGCTTGAAACTTGCTTATCGAGCTTCGCTTTGGACAGGAAGTATAGCAGATCATAGCCTTCAGGAAGAGGTTGATTCGTCCTACACTCCAAATTGGCCAAATACCGAGGTAGCGCAAATTCGGCTACAAGTTCCTCGCACTCAAAATGGAACTCCATGTAAGTGTGTAATTATACCGAGTCTTGCCTCGTCGACTATGCTGGCGCCTCGAAGTATTCAAAAGCATGCATGCGTGAGATCGTCCATCTTGCCGCTGCCTCCAAGTAGGGGCCCCGGCGCCCTGCCTGCAACGTGCGCTCTGAACTCGCCCATCGGGGAGGTTAACGTGATCTCGTTGCCGCGCAAAGCGTGATGCAGGTCGTCATTGTTCCCACTGCTATCCGAGTCTGACGCTGCCTGCTCCTGCTCTGGTGTCGGCGTCGTTGGTGCCGCGGTAGACGCTGATGCTGGAGTGCCCGCTGCCAGAAGTTGATCGGGTGGAGAACCAGGAACAGGACCATCGTCTCGATCATCTGCTCGTACTGTGCGCTGATGCTTGGCTGCGGGTGCTGCGCCTCCAGAAAGGCTCTTGATGTTGTCGTAGTCAAACGTGGGGAACTTGTGCGTTCGGTCGTCGTCGTGATCGCTTCATGTTTTCACTTTCGCTCTGGCGGTCAGTCGCCGACTTCCTCTTTCGGAAGTGCTGCCCGCGGCGCTTCTGGCACTCGTTGCCGTTGTGGTGGTGCCGGCGGTGCTGGATTCATTTCCACGTCCGCTGGAGCTTTCAATGCATCTCCATCGCTGTCATGGCCGCGCGGTCGGAAGAACAACTGCACGAAGGATATCTTCCACACGTAAGCTTCAGGCCGTTCGTCTTCGCGCAGAATCCGCTTCCAATCCACGCATGTGCTGCCAAACTGCACTGTGTGCGAACGAACAGAGGAGTGCATATACCACCATATCAAGAATGGGCTCGGCATCTCTGGCAACTGTTGCAGGCGCTGCATAGCGCGACCGATCCGCGCTCCAAGACAGCTTCGCATGCCACCGAGAAGTGCACAAACGATTGCACTGCACAACTTGGGATACTGAATGGCGCTGCGAGTAAGTCCCATCTGTCCTGCTGCAGAAACACACCATCTCAAACGCAATGCTGCCCGCGAGCAAAAGTCTGCAAACATAGTCACCTGCGTCATGAATGTGCGGGCGCCCGTGATGCTGCTACCCTGGCTGCTGGCGCAACAGAAACTCAATGAATATGGCTCATCAAACGACCGCGATTCGCACCGACGTGGGTCGTGCTTGTCACTTGCAATAAATAAAGCCGTCTCGTGAATCAGAGGTCTGTAACTCTGCAAAATCAAACCAAATTAGAAATGCAGTTACGTTCCGTCTGTTGGGAGATATCCACAAATTCGCCGAATTGTAGCTCTAGGTCTTGCCCAGATGAACGCGTCTGTGACCCCGGTGCTCTCTGTGCTCTGACCGCTGCTGTAGCTTCCGCCATCGCCGCCTGCGCTCTCTCTCTCTCTCTCTCTCGCACGCGATGAGCGCGTCTGGTCAAAACCTGGAGTTCCTCCCGCATCTTCTTGAAAAGGTGGTGCGCTCACCTGATCCACATATTGCAGCTGCGCCGGCTGTCGTGCATATAGGCTTCGGAAAGGAGAGAAGCCACCCACATTCAATAACTGATTGCGCGACGTAAGTAAAAGCCTCAGCCTCGACGCGCTCGCTTGGGATAGCCAAATCCAACTCTCTGCCTCTGCTTGCGACTTAACGCGTCTGGTAGAATTGCGAGCAAACTCGTGATGACGAGCAACAGTAGCCGCCTCTGGTTCAACTGACTTCGCTTGTCTCTGAGACTGGAGTTGGTCGTGATAGATCAGTGCTTCATCTGACTCGAGAGCTCCTTCCTGATCTGCAATGAGATGCTGCGGTGGCCCATGTGTAGAGACCCAAGACATGAATGACCTCCAAGACGTCGGGGGGGCCCTTGGTCTCTGATGCCGCCGCCAGGACACCTGAAACACTGTTCGATCAGGTGAACAACCGTGAACTCGCCAACGAATAGCGGAAGAACATGAACATACTCGTTGCACGTGAATGATAACCTCAAACTGGACATGTTCTCCAGCGCAAGTCGCTGCCATTGCCTGCATGCACTGCAGGTGTCCACAATCTCGTGTGCCATCTTGCAAAGGTACGATTATGGGTGCAACCGCACTCGGTGACATCCCGATCACATGGCGCGCCTGTGCATGCCACCATCTGATATGAAAAACCTGTGGAGTCCGACGTGCCAGATACAGATCCACTTATTTGAACTGCTGTATTGCCCGTCCTAAATCGTAAAGTGACCATGTTCTCATCTGTCATTATGGGCAATCCGTCGCCTTCAGCTCGAGTTGCTCCTGAACGGGATCACTGCATTTCTTCACCGCTGGCTCCGCCACGCTGTCTAGGAACATCGGCTTGCCGAAGTCTAAGTCGCTCTGAAATCTGCCATTGGTAGTGGAGGCTCTTCTGGCGGCGGAGGAAGCGGTGTTCCATGTCCAGGATGAGGATTCAGACGATTGGTTCGTCCAGTAGGTGCCCCCGAAGATCTCGAGGTAACTTCGTGGCCCTTCGTTTCCCGGGTGTCCCCGCTGCTGCTTCCCCCCGTAAGCAATCATAGCCATGCGCGCGTCCATCGCGATGAAGAGGCCTGATAAACTTACAAGATGGACAGGCCCATCCAGGTGGTGCTATCAAAGATCGCAAACATGGGATCGGATCTCTCGTCCACCGGGGATCACGCATATCTCGATGAGATCTGCGAGCAGAACACTTGACCCATTCGGAAAGGATTCCAACTGGCGGAGATACTGTTATCTTCAGTCGTGCCTTGGGCGTCGCGCCCTGGCCTCGCCGAGCCGCGCCCTGCTTGGTGGGTGACCGTGGATGCCGATTCCGGCGCGTCAACTGCTGCAAGAGGTGCCAGCGCTGGTGGCAAAGATGACGGGGCCGCTACTCCGGCGGCGGCGCAGGCTGCAGGTCCACGTCGTCGCTCAGGTTGAGCTGATACTGCAGCTCCTGGCGAATGCTCTTCTTTGCTTCCATCATCATCTGCTGGGAAGAATGTCTGACGTAGTCGAAGATGTCGTAGCAGATCACGAATGGCTGTCGCTACTAGCTTGGCCAACTCCCAAGTCCACAAATTGCGCCGTGAGATCGACCGCTGGATATCGTAGCGCGCGCGGCTGTTGTCGGTTGCACTTGAGGTTCAGGAGCGGCCCGGTCAACGGATAGTGCGATGCCCAGAACTCCGCATGCTTCAGCGCACACTGAAATGGCGGTCGATTTTCGCGCAGGTTAGTCATGCATCGATGAGCAATACACCAGCGAAGCTGCGCATGATTTCTCACGTAATCCTATTCTGTCAAGGTGGTGTAGTTCCGTGGCCTGCGGGTGTCCTGATTTAGAATGCCTGTGATGCCTTAGCAGAAACTCCGATGTTTCCTGCAAGCTTAGCCAGAAGTACTCAAATTCGTACGCATGGCTTCGAGGTCTCTGGGTTCGTGCGCTTGTGTAGCGTCTGCCATCCAGCCAATCCAGTACGGGGTGCACTCAGAGTGGCGGCTGTGACTTTGTTGGGCCCAAACTGCTGCCATAGTGCTGCTTCCTGCGCCCGCTCCATCAAGTCAATGCCGAGATATTGAGGCCGATCTTGGTCGCGTGGCTGCGATATATCAAAATCTGCGATGTCCTCGCGTTGCCTCCACAAATCTCCACAACGTCAATCTAGTGATCGGAGGCGTCGGTGCTGGGCTGCGCTGGAAACAACCAGGCCGCCATGAAACTGCTGAACGTGTCATGCCTGGACTTCTAGGGCACGCGCGAGTAGGTGCTGTCGTGGGTAGCTGAGCCGCCCAAGCCGCGCAGCGAGAAAACACATAATGAACTGGTGGTCTGCTCTGGCTCGCCTTCCATAATCTGACCCCTTGCGTCGAAGATGTCGGTGCTCGCTTGGTCGAGTTCCCGCCTGGCTCGCTTGAGGCTGGAATCGTCGAGCCCGCAATCGTCGAAGTGCTCCTCCACCTTGAACTTCTTCTAGGTGCTTGACTTAGCACGCGAAAGATCAATAGATCGAGACTCCCGATGTCGTTCGCGCTCGTTGGCTCGCACTGCTGCGTCGGTCGGGCATGCCATGGGACCTTCATCGACGACGTCGAACGTAACATGCTTGCCACTGCCATTGCCCGTCGTCGTCCGAGGGGGTGCACTGCGCCGATGCAGTCGCGGATAATGTAACATCTTGCTCCCGCGATGGCGAACCAGTGGTCGAGGAGGCGCGCGACTGCTGCCGGTGCCATTGCGCTGTCGGCGATGCCTGGAGTTCCCAAGTCGAAGTGGCCATCAGGGCGGATGGTCAGAGTGTGGCTGATACCTGTAGCCGCACCGCGGTAGTCTTCAAGCCGCCACTCTGGTGCTGCTTCCAAATGAAGTCGCTGGAGTGGTGCTGCGTCCACGCTGTCTGCGGGCGTTCGTTCGCCTCGAGAAGCGCCGCTCGTCGTGGAGATGTCTGCTGCTCGCTAAACTGGCTGATGAGCTGAAAACGCCGTCGGTGCGCCCCCGTGAACTGTCCCGTTGTCGGCGGCCCAGTACCCGCAACAAGACTGGCGGGCGTGGAAGAAGCATGGCATTCAAATTGTTACACTTGGTCGCCGCCGCACGCCGTGAACTGCGGTTGCGAAGCTGGCCATGCTTACTACATGCATGACGCCTTTGGCCGTCGCTATCAGCCATGGTCCAACTTGCGGGTAGCGCGCTGTCGTGCAAAGAAAGATGTCGAGGTAGAGAGGAGGTCGGAATGTTGCCGCGCGTCGATTTGTTTGCGGCTTGCTCCAAGCGGCGACGAAATCGTCTGGAAGCCGTGCTTCGCATCGGGGTCGTGCTCCCTCTCGCTATCCGTCGTGCGCTGCGGCGCCGTCCCGGACGACGTCTTCGCATGCTTCGCGAACTCCGCGCAGCGTACCAGCAGGCGCCCGCCCGCGCTGCTCTCGACCTCCAGGGTGGAGGCGCCGCGAGGCGCGTTGACACGCGCGCGCCCAGGTCCGCAAAGATGCATCTCTTTATTGGCCAGAACGACAACTGCCCGCTGATGCCGCGTAGACGTGATCCCCGCAATTCTGGAACAGTCGAACATTTTCCCTCGGCGCCAACTACTGGCGCCGTGTAGGTCGCACAGCTCGTCGCATCGTTCGCGATAACGCATAACCCTTGCGAGCTGCGATTTCACAATCGACGGGTTTCGACAACTTCTCCCATTTCACCTGGCCCAACAGGCCTTGCTCGCTCAGGATGCCAAGTATGCGCTCGATGATGAGACTGCCAACTAGGTTGTCATGCGCGCCAGTGCCCACAAGAAGACCCTCTCGCCCTTCGCCTCGTAGTCTAGTCTTCGGAAAAAAGATCTGCTCCCGGCTCAGCTCTGCCGATATGTAGGCGCTGCCACCGTCCGTCTCCAGGTCAAGGTTCCGCAGAGGAAAGAAATGTGCTGGTTTCTGTTCACTGTCGCTTGGTGTCTTTATCCATATACGTAACTGCTGCAATTGGAGCTGTGGTGTCTATCTGCTGCTGGCGCCGCTTGGGGCTGATGTGGGCTGTTGTTCCACGTCGTCAGGTCCTGTAATTGTCGTTGTCGATACATGCTATTGTCCGCCGCGATGCCCATAGCTTCTGAAACCATATGAGACCATTCCACATTCGGAATGTCGGTAACTGGCTCTGCTTGCGGCTCTACATCGTCATGGTCGCGCCCTGCACGAAGGAAATGGCGCTGCATCTTGAACAGATGACCAGGGGCGAATACAAGATATTGTCACGCAGAAGTCGCTGCCACACCCGCTGGCCCATGGGTGCGACGATGAAACTTCTGATAATTACGGCACTTATTTTGGTCACTTCCACATTGACTGCACTTAACTATCTCGCCGGTGACGGGGGCCTTCCTGTTCTTGGTGCTAAGCTGGAAACCTTTCGAATTGCCTTCTCGCCTTGAATGGCGCAGGACCTGCCGCCCCCATCTGGAAGCGCCCTGGTTTGCCAAACTGCCTCCTGGAACCGCCGCGCCGCCCCTTGCCGAACTGAGGTCGCCCTCCAAAATGCCGTTTGTTGAATCTGCGAAACTTCGTTGTCCTCATCGCGTGGGCCCTGTACCGCTTCTTGATGCTGAGTTACGCCTCGTACAGAACAGTCGTGATGTTTGTGCGATTCGCAGGAACTTCATGGGGTAGCAAGCTCGATGAGCATGTCGCGATCGCCTCGTCGGTGCACTCGGGATCACATTGGAAGTCGCCTTCCGATTCCGTATCACTTTCACGGGTAGAATCTTCATAAACATACACCTCGTCGTCGCACTGTTGGTTCCCATCCGCCTGACATGTCGGCGTTTGCTGCGGCATGGTTGCCGATGCAATTACCATGCCTCCATCGCCCAATGCTGCCATCGCCGGGCGTCCCACATCACCGAAGTAAGTCGAATGGCTGTGCTGTCCACAGTGTTGTGTATTCTGCGATACGCCATGAAGAAGAGTATTACGAAGTAGCCATGGTGCCTGCCACTTGGACCATCTGGCCACGTACATAGTCCCAGTCCTGCCTTCCGTAAGCCATGTCGTCCACATCTACCTCTCAGCCTAAAACTCTCGCCATACCTCCGAGCTGAAGAACCTGTGTTGCTCCTTGCCTCGCTTGTGGTACTTCCGTGGCCGCGTTCCAAACGATGAGGTCCTGGGCGTAGACCCACAGCGGGTAATTCGACTCCGACTCAGGCCTCCAGCTCGGCGGTGCCTTCGAATTCGCCATTTCATTTGGGTACTCGTGCTGTCCAGGACTAAGCGCTGTGGTCCACCATGTTGCACGGGAGGCCCTCGGCCGTAATTCGCTGCGCCCTTGCCGCCGAACATTGTCGCGACCAGCTGACACCCAGAATCAGAAGTAACCTCGAATTGTCAGTCGAAGCCGCTGTTTTCGCACTTGTAGCTGTCGGAGCAGCGACGGTTGGCAACTGCCGGTGTCGGAGACCAGGTGTTCGCAGAGGTGTCGCCTGCTGTTGCCTGCGGCAGAGGGGGAGAGCAAAGCTGCTCCGCTACCACGTGCAGTGGCACGCGGCAATGTCCCTCTCCCTCCCGGCGGCAGCTGGTATGCAAAAGGAAAGTAAAGGGTTGGTTCCATTTCCCTTTCAGTACTCAGTTGTCGGTGACGCATCTTCAGCCACAGTGGCATCGACGATTGGAACTGCTCTTTCCAGTCCAAGACCGTGCAACGTGGGTGCGGGGCCTCCGAATAGCTGTTCTAGAGGGCCCCAAGAGAAGAAGGTAACACCTTACTGAGGGAGGAGGGGTGAAGAGGAAGACGAGGGAGGAAGACAAGGGTGATTGCTGCACCTGAATGACCATCGGTGATGACGTCTGTGAACCTTGCTACCTTGTCGAGGGGGCAAGCCTTCTCAGAAGCCGTCTGTGGTTTCGGACGAGGCTTAGAGAGGGGGCCCGAGCCCCCCCTGCCTTCTCCCCTGGGTTCGCCGCTGACATGTGCCATCCGCGGGTGTGGTCCTGTTCACGGCTCTATCGACTTATCCAGCGCGCTCTTGGCGATCCTCGCGATGGTACTCACCAGCATGAGGACGGCCACAACGGCCACCAAATACACATACCAAGGGAGCTGGCCGTGCGACATGGAACCCTCCCGCGCCACGCTGCTTCCGCAAACAACTGTGCATCACGCAGCCCCCCACTTGCCTTACTCCTCAATCTCCCATCTGCCTCTGCAGTCCACCCGCTCAACAAATTATGACAGGAGGCGGGCAACTTGCAGAGAAAAAGGTGAACGCATTCTGGGCCAGGGGCAAAAAAATGGGAAAGACAGACGGGAGGGTCGCAAAGTGAGAGCAAGACCAGGAGCATTTAAGAGGGATGGCTGCCTCCCGAAGTCTCGCGCCGCCGAAGGTCCCCCGGGAGGCCTCTGGAGGCTGTCTGTAGGTCTCCAGGTCCCAGGACGTGGCCACTGGCCAGGCCCATCCTGGACCCCGGCGCAATACGCCACCCTTGCTTGGCCAGGGAGGCAAATACACCGCTCCTGGACCCAAAATGGCGCGGGCCACGAGCGATGGATATGTATAGATCCTGGCATGGCCGTGTTGTGAAGTATGCCCGCCCAGAGGTCAGATCGCCATCCCAGCGTACCCCACGACACAAGGATGTTCGACACGAGACCTCCCACCCTCAGGCCCTTCCTCACTCCCTCCCCCCTCGGAGGCATCCACGAGGTCCCCGTCGAGATCTACTGAAGCCCCGGGAGGCCAATCGAAACCCAGGGGGCGTTCAGAGGCTCCATTGAGTGTGCAAAGTGCCCACCCAAAGGCTATCCTCGATCGAGGTGGGGAAGTTGGAAATGGGGGAGACTAAGGGCCAATTTCCTGACGAATCTGCGTGGGACACCACGCCGCGGGAGCCCTCCAAGAGCCGCAGTAGCGTGGCCGCAAGTGTCTCGATCCCAGTGAGACGCCGCTGCGCTGGGCCACCAGGAAGCGCACCAGGGATTCGAGAGCTTTGTGCATGGCGGTGCTCCGGGGAGGGCAGTGCTGCCAGGACGCATTGGCCGAGCCTCGTCCTTTCGGGCAGTCGGGGGCACCATTGGCCTCTGGACCCATGTGCCCACGCGGTGGCGGAAGTGGCATCGGCGCTGGCAAATATTTGCGTATGTATTTCATGCGTGGTTCGCTTTCTGGCTTGCTGGGTTCGCGTATGACAGCAATTCGCCGACCCTTCGGCGTGTATGAGACGTTGTCGTTGTCTTCGTCGTCATCGTCGTGGTCGTCGTCGTCGTCGCGTCGCCAGAGAAAAGACACGTCGTAGTTATATAAAGTCGACTCCCTTCCCTTTTTCCATTCCCTTCCCTGGTGGGGGGTGCGGTGAAAAGGGGGATGGGGGTGGGTACGTTGGGGGGTACTGGGGGGGCCCCGTCAGATCCGCCGGCCCCCTTGTGGGGCCACCAGGCTGGAGGCCTAAGGTTCGCAGTTTCCTGTGCCAGTTGCAGCTTCCAGTTTCCACTGTTACGGTTCTGTTTCTTGCTGCTTACTGTTCCTTGTCTGAATTGCTTGGGCGGGTGAAAATTTACACCCCTCACGCAGATCGGCGGGGTCAGGGTCCAACAACACATGGGATTTGCCACATTTCTGAAATTCGGCGGCACCCCTCACGCAGATCGGCAGGGTCAGGGTCGAAAAACACAAAGGATGTGCCGCATTCCTGAAATTCGGCGGCACCCCTCACGCAGATCCGTAGGGTCAGGGTCCAAAAACACAGGGGATTTGCTACATTTCTGAAATTCGGTGGCACCCGTGACGCAGATCCGTAGGGTCAAGGTCGAAAAACAAACAGGTCCCGACACTGCTTCACGGCGGCGCCCAGACCTCATGATTTAGCTTTTGCATCTCCCATTATCCGAGACAGGGGGCCGGCGGCATGGGGCGAAGCCCTTACGAATTACTGCTCCGATGACCGCCCTGGTCCCCCCCGTGACGAGAGGGACAACGGGGTTGGCCCCCCTTGCCCCCCCTCCCTCCCCAATTCCCCCCCTTTGGACAGGGGGGACGGGGGGGGTCCTTTAGACGGGGGGGTCCTGCCCCAATCCCCCCTTTGGACGGGGGGGTCCTGCCCCCCCCATCCTTTCCCTAGTCTCCCCCTGTGGACAGGGGGGCCAAGGAGGGGGTCCCTCCTGCCCCCCCCTCCTCGCCCCGGTCCCCCCTTTGGAAGGAGGGGGGGTCCACCCTGCCCCCCCCTCCTCTCCCAGTCCCCCCTGACAGGGGGAGGCTCCCCCTGCGGACAGGGGGAACTCAACAACCATTCCTCTCGCCCCCGATCTCCCCCCAATCCCCCCGATGCAAAATCCCCCTGTGCACGAGGAGGACTCAAGACCCCTCCCCCTGCCTCCCCCCAGTGGACAAGGGGACAGGGGGACCACCCCGTCTGGGGGGATCACCAGCGAGGGTCCCAGGGGAGATCCCACCTTCAGGGTCGGCGGCACCGGCCGCAAGGCCTTCACAATATCGCTGGAAAGCCACAACCCTCCCAGAGAGGCCACTTCAGACCGTGTCCCCCGCCATCAGGGGAACCACCTCGACCTCTCCGCCCAGAGCCTCCCAAACCCACCACGACAGTTCGAGCTAGACCCCCTTCCCCCAAATAGGACCGATACTGAAGCTGAAACTGAAATGGGGCGGAAAACTGCATAAGCACTGGATACGCTGGACTCGGCACCGCTCTGCTGACGCGACATGCTGGATATGCTTGATTCGCCTGCGAATCGGACCTCCTCCTCTACTAGCCAGCCGCTCTGCGGTTGATCGGGAGTTTGCTTGACTAGAAATGAAGGATGCGTGTTTCCCATGACGCCGTCGACCCTCTCCCCTCCCCAGGGGCGCGTTTTGCGAGGATGTCCCGAGCGAAGGCACCGATTTGGGATTCTGCGCCAGGTTCTCTCAGATTCGCCCGAAAAGGTGCAGGAAGCGCAAGTGTCGCTCTCACTTCCTCGCGCGCTGGGGCTCGAGATGACTTGCGTTCCACAGAAACTCCGTGAAATTGTGAAGCCACGATGGCCCAAGACCTCCCACGCCGGGTTTCCCAGCGAGGCGGGGATTTATTCTTTTATCCATGACCACAGCCAGGGAGCCGACGTCCTGGCACCACCGCGGGCGGTGGATGTGGATATAGTCGAACCACAGGGGGCGCCCGAATCTGTCAATATCCACTGCCTGCCGGAGTCCCCAAACATCGGTCCCCTGGACGGTGCTTCTGGAGCAATCTCTGCCTCGGATTTCTGTCTTTCCCCAGGCGCAACCCCCAGAAAGCCCTCGACCTTTTCGATGCGGGGACCAGCGCCTCGTTGCAGAAGGGCGTCCTCTGGCCGCGGAGCGCGCCCCCCCAAATAAGGCCCGAGGCACTCGTGGAACGGAAGCATGCCCCCGTGTGTTTTCAATTCGAGGCCAGAGCCTGCACACGTCAATCGCCTGGGGAAGCGATGCTGGATCGCGCAATGACATACTAGCACGATGCGTCCTCCTTGGAGGCGTGCGTCCGACCCGGAAACATCGTGCAAACCATCTTGTAAGAAATCGATCCCCGAACAGCATGGCCAAAAAACGCCCGCCACGGAGCGTGTGCTACAAGATTTTTCCCCCGCGCGCGTCGCCCATGGGGGGGAGGGGGGGGGCGGCGACAAACTTGTCCGTCGGCGGCGAGGCAAAGGCAGTCCGCTCCAGCGCGTGGCTATTCGGGGCAACCGAAACGCGAACTGTCCGGCGTACAAGAGGGAGGAACCATGACGAGGGCGGCCGCGCGGAGAGGAAAGCGGTCAGACGTGGACAAAAATCGCGTAGAGCAGGCCGGTGCGGCCTGCCGAGGCAGCGGGAACGAGGTGGAAAATTTGGGCTGGTGGCGGCTGGGGGGTCTGCTCTGGATGGGCACCAGCAAAACCAGTCAGGAGAGGAAGGGGGGCAAACTCGGCATAAAATGCCTATCTGGAGAAAGGAGCCCAGAAGGGACAAGGAACAAAGTTTGCGCACTCTGGTATGAAGCAGTGCTTGTCCCCCTTCTGACGGCTGGAACTACTGATGCCCCATCTCAACCCCCAGGCTGGCTCCAACGTTGGGATGCATCGAGCTGGAATCTGCGATAAGTCGCCGACAGATCGGCGACAGGCCCCCGATATCGAATCTGAATGTTCCTGAGCGGGGTGTGCTATCGAGCCAGCGATGAATGGGGAATTGGGGGTCGATGTATCCTCATATGAGCCTATCCCCCCTAACGTTGCCCCTGACCGTAGGGGCAGAGGTCGCAACTCGTTGCCTCTGACAGTGCCCCATGAGGCGGTGGATGCGAATATTCTTGGGCCCTGGGGAGGGCTGAAATTGTCCACATCGCTAGCGCCTCCTGGGGTCCTGGGATATCGGATCGTTTTCAGGACCATGGGAGGTGTGGGATCGTTGGGCAAACATCACTGCACGGACACATATCATGGACTGCGTTTTGACAAGATTGCCGAAAGGAATCTCGCCGTGGCCACGAGAAGCAAGCTCGGCAAGGGCGAACGAAAAATTAAAGATCCTCGAACGTCGATCATCGAACGTCGATCCTCGACGTCGATCACATCCGCACTCCTCGAATGTCGATCCTTGGTCCTCATCCTGCGCACCGGGCCCCGGCCCCTCCTTGACCGACGACGCGAGGTACACGACGGCCCAGGCCTCAGGAACAGAGCCCAGCAGGGTCGCGCCGAAGAAATCCAGGAATCGGATGTCCGTCAGGGCGCCCAGAACGAACGTGCCCACGGCCTTGGATCCCTCCAAACTGGGCGTCGTGAAACAAACAAACAGGCGAACTGATTGCATTCTTGTCATTTCCAAATGCTGCTTCTGGGCCCCAGAACCACCGAAATGTTTCTGTAATTGAAAACGTTCTCCGATAATATCTCCAGTGGTCAAACATTGAAAACAAATAGCAACATCCAGACTGGGAGCACTACGGGCATGTTTGCTGCCCCCGTCTCTAGGGTCGCGTGGCGCAGGGCAAGAAAAGTGGCTCCCTCAACTACCCTCACGCACGGGACATATAGAGGTGGCAAGCAAAAGGAAGTGCAGGAGGGGTAAGGGCTGTCAGTCTGCGAAGGGGAGCTGAGACAGGAAAGGCGCAGGACGGGGTCCAAGAAAATGGATGGGGGGAGGGAGGAAGGTTCTGTGGGCCCTGGAAACGACAAGGTACATGTTCTGGCTCCGTGTTTTGTTTGGTTCCGTCGCCGTTTATTTCCCAATTCCGTCGTCCTTTTTCTTGCGGTTCTGGCTCCTGTTCCGACTTCGGCGCAATTGCTTGCTTCGCTTCGTGAAAAATGGATAGAAACATATTCACGCTCAAAAAGAGAGATACCCGCAAACCGCTTTAACAAAAAACCGTGACGCTTCCAGGGCTCAATAATTCCAAAAGGAATAAAACAGGGGAAGAGAGGAGAGGGGTACACGGTAAGCTAGGTACGCTCGCACCATATCTGACATTCTACCCCTCCCACCCATCCACACTGCCCATTGCCTTCCCATGCCCGCCGACGTGTGTCATAGCAAACCTGAAACTCATAGGTGGATCCCATCTTGTCATGCGCAATCGGGAAGGGGGAGCTGCATAGATTGGAGGTGCCGGATGAGCAGGAAGACGAGCAGGAGGAAAAGAAGGAGGATGAGAAAGGAGGAGGATGAGGCCGAACGGCAGCAGCAAGAGACTGGAGTGCAAGGAGCGCGAGGGGCAGGAGGAGCAGGGGAAGGCGGAGGAGGCGAAAGGAGGGGGTCGACAAAGATGGGCAAGGACACGGATCCACTAAAGTCGCCCGCAATGGGGCGAGAGTGCCATTCTGACCGACGGGAGCAAAGCGCCGATTCTAAAGTGAGGCCCACGCTGCAGCGGAAACACCATCTTGAAAGACAGAGAACGATCGGATTGACAAAAACGCGTGAGGAAGAATACATAATGCAACCCCGTGTGTTAAAAATCAATGCGCGAAGAGAGCGGTACATCTTCCGCACAGAGTCAAGAGAGACCAGAAGCTAGTACTCATATAGAGTAATCGTAGAGGGAGGAGGGGGGCATGAGAAGAGGGGGAACAACGAGAACGAGCACCAAGGAGAGATGAGAGGACAGGGAAGATATCCTCACACGACCCCCTCCGACGGAGTAAAACTCAGAGCCGATAATTGAAGTCGCCGTTTTCCTGTGTTGGCGGTTCCGAGTGGGATGCCCTAAATAATCCACAAGCCGGATGCACGCCTCACATAGATCGCGCCGCTACAATCATACATCTCATATAGTTTATTCAAACTGTTTGCTTGAGAAACGCAACCAGCACAATTGTGCTCAAGGGTTGCGAACACATCGCAGAAAAAAAAACAAACGGATCCATCGCCCCCATCCGCTGGAGAAATTTCCAGAAAACTGGCTGGATCGATCCGTGAGGGCACTTGGGCCCCCAAAACAAAACAACATGCCCACCGTGGATAAAGTCAACGTGTTACTAGAAGCAAGGCCGAATCAGAATCAGGAACGAAGGGGCTTTCCTGGCCGCCGCGAGCCTCGGCAACGAATAGGCCCCCCGACCCAGATGAGGAAAGGCCCGAAAACCGGGGCCCCTCCTGAGCCCAGAACGATTCTCATTTCAATGTCTATTCGAACAGCGAGTACATCAACCCCAACTTTCGGAGCTGCGCGCGGATTTCTCGGATCGGCGCTGAACTCCCCTTTGGTGCGCTCCGCACATCAGGGACGGCGGCTGAGGCGCCGCCAGGGGGGTCCAGCGCACATCCAAGAAATCCGCGCAAAGCTCAGACAATGTCCGATCATGTGGCCTTCTCTTCTTCGACCGCAGATGCGACGAGGCCTGGATTCAGTTTGTTCTGTCCCGCCCCCATGCAGGCCGTGGGCAGCACGAGGGACAGCCTGCACAGAAGGGCCACCCGGAAGCCCTGCTGGCCCACCGCGGCGCAGATGCGCTGCACCTCCTGGCGGTTCGAGAATATCCGCTGCACCTGAGCGACGAAACGAAACGCGCCTTACCCTGAGATCCTGGCGTTGAACTCTTACAACTGGCCATCTTGCTCGTTTCGGGCCCAGGGACCCCTGCGGATCGACCCAGCTCGATAAAATGCAGGAGCAAGGTAGGGCCCAGAGCTCTGGTCGAGTTGTTGTCCACGATGTTGCGATTGTTTCGTGACGTCGGCCCTTAGATCTTAGGGTACGCGACTCCTCCTCCTCCTCCTCCTCCTCCTCCTCTTCCTCCTCCTCCTCCTCCTCCCTCCTTCTTCCTCCTCCTCCTCCTCCTCCTCCTCCTCCTCCTCCTCCTCCCTTAGACACGGCGACCTTGCGCCACGGCCGAAGCGGGGCGCCAGCGCGACACGCTGCCTTGGGAGTGAGGGCGCTTACGCGCCGTCTTGCGTGGGCACCTCACGCGCAAATGCCCGTGCAGTCGACCCCCTGTTCTCGGGAGCGTCCGAGAAGGGAGCGTCCAAAAGGGGGGCGCAAATCATGGCCGGCGGCATGTGCGCGGCCCAGGGGGGGGGGGCAGGGACGTACTGACATAAGAAGAGGCGCCATGAGCTCTGGGGAGATATCATGGCCCCCGCCCTGACATCCACCCCCCCTAGTCATCACCTCCCTCTTAGCCGCCCACGACGGTTTTCCGTCGCCGCACCTGCGGCCTGACCACGAACCGCGACAGGAAGAAGCCACAGGCCGCGGAGCCGATGACCCCCAGCGATACGAGCACGTAGCTCCTCTCGGGCTGAAAGCACGTCCGCACCCACCGCGTTGCGGGCCGGGCCCCCGTGCCGCGGCCCCGTCGACAGGGGGCGCGTTGCCCCGAGATCCTGGTGTCGCATTTGTTTCACATCGGGCGAGCTCGCCCTGCTCAGGGCCCCATGGATCTCACGGATCGGTACAGCTATGAAAGTGTGGCAAATGGGGGCCAAGGCTCTGATCCTTAGTTTTCGCGATATGGCATATTTTTCGCAACGTCGGACCTAAAGGTTGTGCGGATGCACCGCGAGGGACGTATCCATGCGACGGCGTATCCACAGGATCGCGCCTCGGAACCCAGACCGCGGGGGCGTGGACCGAGGATTGACGGGCCAGGTCTGCATGGCACCGCATTCCCAATGCACCTGGGCAAGATAGCTAACCAACGTCCACGAACAGCAAAATGTGTCTGGCAAAAAACACATCAGTTGGCGAAGCCGACTGCGGACTGCACCAGCACACTCGGAATGCCAATGTCGAGTACGCAATTAAGCTGGTGCAGATTTCCTCAGTCGGTTTGTCTGGGTGGGCATTATCGCAAAACCCGAATGGATATGGATCCGTTCGCCGCTCGTGAGCTCCACGGCGCACCCCAGATGTAGGCGGCGGCAACCATGAAGGGCGTGACGGGCACAACCACCGTGAGCTGCATCAGCACGAACGCGAGCACGTAGTAAATTTGCCCAGAGACCCCCAGCGCCAGCACGGATCGGGGCCCGATGGCCCCACTACGGTTGCTGCAACTGGGACCAAGACCCGCGTCGTGAAAAAAACCAGATGGAATCAATTTGACAATCTTCTGCCTCCGAAGGCCTTGGCCGGGCCGCGGGACTGTCAAAAAATACTCGGGCTGAAACACTGGTCTTCTGGGGGCCCGCGTTGTGTAATAATCACAACGTCGGGAATCTGTGAAACCAACTGACTTGTCGGACCTCGGAAAGCACGGGTGGAAGGCGCAAAGGCGCCGTGTTGAAGGCCATCCACCCATTTTTTCTCACCATTGGGCCTGAAACGGTTGGGGGGTATGCGCTGGAATCGCGCGTCGAAGACGCCGGGACACAGTATGAAAGGCCATCCGCAATCCATGTTTAGCCCCAGGTGCGAAGCGGTTGGGGAAAGAAGGCCTGCGCTGGATGGACACCAGGGAAAACATCTGCCAACAGGCGGGGGCCGAATCGTTTTACAAGTACAAAGCTGGATACCTCCCACCGATGCATCGACGATGCGTCACCGATGTTCGGCGGTGCAACGGCGACGCCGGCGTGGAAAACATTGGGTCCACATCGAACCGCACCACCGATGCATCGGCGATACGGCGCGATTTTCCGACACCATCTACTCCGACCTCACCTACGCGGCCTACAAATGCACGTCCAAACCTGGCGGTTTGGACGGGTAATTGGTGACTGGGGCGAACACTGCATACATCCCCTGGTGGAAGCACTTGCGTTGTCGATGAATCGGCGACGCCAACACGGACTCCGCATCGCGCCGCATGGCCGATGCACGAGCCATGCGGCGTGATCTTCCGAACACACCTTTCTTGGACAATGTGGTATGACCCTTTCCAACAACATTTAAATAAAAACGCACTTCCACCGCTACCATCCCCCCTGGCGGCGCGGCGCCCCCCCGCCCCCCATCTCGCTTGAGACCTCCCCTCTCCTCAATTGGGGAAGCATCGTGGACCCCCTAGCTTGCGATCACGGCCGTCGCCGGCCCTGCTCCCCTCCCTCCGTGACGTCGCCAGTCGCGCCGGCGCAACTTTTGCGAAAGCATGGGAATCGCAAGAAGAACACGGAATAACAAATACCACAGTGGGATATGCGAAACGAGACGCGCGCAATGCGCTGGACACGCAAATATCTGCGATCGACAGCTACGGATAGCAAGGCGCATCGCAAGGCTGAAAAAAACAGCATCTCAATCCACTTTTCCGTTTCTTCGCCCCCCCGTCCTCCCCCGTCGTCGTCGTCCTCGTCATTGCGTTGCGACGTGCTTCGCAAAACCAAAACATCATGCTGAAGGGGCAAAAAAGGGCGGGGCGAGGCATGCGGGGCGAGACCGGCGCGACCTGTTTGATTACACTGTTCCCGTCCGGCACTAAGCCCGCCTGATCCGTTGCCCATCAGACGGGGAGTCTCCCTGCACCCACGCGACGAACCAAAACAACACAATTCGCCAAACTGTCCTGCGACCACGGCCGAGGCTTCGTCGACTCACGACGAATGGCAACAAAAACGAGCCATGGACCCGGACTCGGTTGAAAATGAAAAGAGGAAAGGGCGGAGGAGGAGGAGTAAGGACGCCCCGATATGCGCTGGAGGCCGGTTTGGGGACCGCCTCTGCGATAATCTACGAATCTGCCACACTTGCGAAATAATATCACGGCTGACTCGCCGACTGTATCTACTTACGCGGGCACTGCTTCATATCCGGCCTCGGCTGCCCCTGGCCATCCGATGCCGCGGGCGGCTGCGTTGCAATATGCCGAAGGCGACTGCATTCCAATATTCCGCGCATTGTGTTTATCCTCCTTCCTTCCTCCATCCTTCGGCCCCTGCGCGTGTCTTTAGTTGTTCGGCTCACCAGGCAAAACGGGGATATCCACAATGCGCCTGTTTGCTTACAGTTGTGTTATCGATGCGTTTTCTGGTAAGGGGGTCTGTGCGCCCCTCGGCCCGAGGGGATAAGTCGGCACGTCGTTGCCATCCCTATCCTCATCATGTTCGTTCTCTTCCTGTTGTCGCCCCACTTGTCCACCGTGCGTTGCAGAGTGTTGCGCACCACGTGCGCACCACATCGTTGAGGAAAATTGATGGGGGGGCGGTGGATGTCGTAAGCCCATGGCCCGCCCGCGGGCCATGTCCTCCTCGCCTTACCACAAGCGCGCTGCGTGTTTTTCCGATTTATCAAACCGGGACCGAGAACATTAAGCTGGGTGTATTATGCAATCCAGATGGCTGGAAGCACGCGCGTTTGGAATCACACGCGGAACATGCGGATGCGAGTTGCTTGATCCATTTGCGGATGGCTAACATGTTTAGCCGCGCGAGAGCCGAAACCATGGAAAACAAAGGCACACAACAACACGCGTACGCAGTTCTCGACATGTAAGTATATGCGGCTCCCGAATAAGAGGCACACGGGGGCAATGCCCCGCTGTGTCGGGATCGGTTTTCCCACCGGACACGGATGCGCGACGAAACCCGCTGGGCGAACGCAGAGCGCGCGCCTGCGAACCCCGCGCTAGGCCGCGAGCGCCGCGACGCGTTTGGCTAGGAACATAACTCCGACAAGGACACCGAGAAAAGGATGCAGACGACGACACATGACTCGGCTTGAAAGATCGAGACGAGGGCAAGCGGGCAAGAGGGCGAGAGGAGGGCAAGAAAGTCCGCCCGCTAACCGTCCATCCCCGCGCCTCGAAGACCTCGTACTAGAGATCGTGCCACAGAGCATCTGATTGCATTGGCCCGCAGTCGGGCAGACAGTGAGAGGCGGGCAGACCTGGGACCGACAGACCCAGAAGTCCTCTGGGCGTTGAAAGAGGCATGCACGGCATCTATTGCAAGACCGACACTGAGCAGGCTGTCAGATTCGATGAGCGGGACAAGCGCGAGGACAAAGGAGGAAATAGGATCCGAACCCCAGCAAGGGGGAAGGCATGGAAGGCACCCACGGACACGGGGGGCCAGATTCGGGCACACAAAATAATGAAGGATATCGTCTCCTCCTACAGCGTAGCAACCAAACCTGCATCCAGCGCGGCCCGCGCGGAACCGACGGGAAGTGGCCCAAGCATTGCGCAGCGTCTTTAACACTGAGCTCGCTACACAAGAACCGAGTTTCTGACCATTCCTACAAAGTCTAGTCATCGTTACATCACATTGCTGCGGGGAAAGGGGGCGCCAGTAGTTCAGACGGGCGCCAAAAGAGCGATCAGAGGGGAGGGGGTAGAAGAGACGAGACAGGAATCTCACAATTTTACTCTGGAGGCCATTGGTGAGCTCCGTGGGGATACACGGTACGTCGATAAGGGACTCGAAGTTGGTACGTATTTGGATGAAAGAAGAGCTCCGATATGTGGGATATCTGATATAAAATAGTTCACAATCATCATGTCGAGTACACTCTTCCAGATATTCACGACCGCGAGCAAATTCATCAGAGCGTAGAGCAGCGCGGAACAGAGCGGCACGGGCGCTGGGCTCCACTGCACGAGCTTCACATGTGATGCCAAAACGCTTCAGGTCACAAAGAATCGCACTAGAAAGCGAGAATCTCGGAGCCACTGGAAGTTGCTGGAGAGCCTCACGCTCAGCAACTCGAACATAATCAGTAATATGATAAAACTGGGCAACGTGTTGAAGGACGGGCTGACAGTAGACGTTATACATGTGAATATTTCCTGCAAGGCCTAAACAGACGCTTTTAACATACCTGGCACGACGGAGGAGGGCCCGACACGGGCCTTGCCAACTCAGAGAAGCGCCCCCAAGACCCAGGAAGACCCCAAGGTAAAGCCCAGCACGGCCGATTTTGGAGGATCTGAGGCGGATTCGTTTTTCCCTGCAGTCCTTGCGGAAGGCGCCTTCCGCACGGTCGTGCGGCAACACAAACTGGCACTTCGCGGGGTGAAAGAAGAGGCCCGTGCACTTGGCGAGCAGCACGAACTCGTGTACCATGACAGAGTGTGCAGCACCAAGATCAAAAGGCAACGATGCCGAGATCATCAGCGTAGGCGCAAGGATGAGCGCGGACCACCTCAAGACTATGCCGTATCTTCCTGAACCAAGGATCAAGACCGAGTGCAAACAGAAGACCAGAAAGAGGACATCCTTGTTTTATGCCACGCTCAACCTTGAACTTGCCAAAGATGCGCCCCTTAAAGCGCACGTGCATGTACATGTTATCATACAGGTTTTTCACGATTCGGCAATACCAATCAGGGATACCCATTTCATGTAATACATATATAATCCAATCATGTGAGATACTAGGGAAAGCTTGCTTGATCTCATAAAATGCCATACCATGAGAGGGGGCGTTTTCATAAGCAGCATATTGGGTGTATCTCCAATCCAGAGCTAGTACATTATCCACCAGAGAGCGCCCTCCCACGAAACCACGTTGTTCGCTATCGACAGTGCGGCGGGCCACAATATTCAGCGGCTGTGCTGGCGCACTGCATATCAGCTTGCAATCCGTGTTCCCTAAGGCAAGCGGACGAGTATGCTCAGGCGCGCGAGGCGGCTCTGCCTCCAGCGCTCCCTTGGGAAGAAAGGCCAGGCAAGCATCATTGAACTCGTCGGGAATCTGCCCAGTGTCAATGATGCGACGATAATGCGCATATAATACACCCCTAGCCCTCGGCCCGCCATACCTCCAACCAGAGTATGGAATACCATCCAATCCTGGGGCAGAATCCCGAGATTTATCTAGAAGCTTATCAAAAAGGTCTTCATCGACTGTCCACATAATGTCCTGAGGAGCTGCTTGGATCCACGTACGCAAAGAACGCATGCCGTCCTGGCAGGGACGAAAAGGTTGGGCAACTTTCGCCCAGTGGTCCTGCAGCAGGTTAGCACAAACTTGGGGGTCAGTGTGGGTGTTACCATTTGGGCCCAACATTCCCTGCAACAGCACTTGCTTGTGACGGGGGGCCCAGGCACGAGCCAGACGTTCAATTTTTGCAAGACCCGAGGTCCTAGCCTGATGGGGAAGC